GGTATGGTATGTGGGGTCATGTGACAAGGGGTATTTAAGTGGAGGACAGAAGGTTGAATGTCAATCTAGGCCAGTCTCGCTACAGTGCAGTTTTCAACTTGTTGTTTTGTAAGTTTGTTGTATAATACAGGGCGACACCCGCCACCTTCCCCTGGGCACGATCGACAGTGCGACGGGTACAGGTTTCCAGGTATTTTTTCCTCAAAGGGTTTTTTATTCCTGGTTTTTCCTGGGCGGTCGGCGTGCCGGTAACGGGGGTTTACTATTTTGTCAATGTTAGAGGGACTGTGATGCAAGTTATTTTTTCTCTCATTTAGTTTTATTTCAATTTGAACACTACATGCAATGTAATGGCAGCCGTTTTTAGTCGGCTTTATTAGTATGTTTTGTTAAATAAATGGTTCGCCGGACCGACTGCCCATACGTGGCCGAACCTGGCATGAACCTTACCTTATGTAAGTGTGTGTTGTACGTTGTCGGATGTGACGAGACAAGTAAAGACAATGGGCTACGGACTGACCTCGAAACGTTTATCTAGATCGAACGGCGCCCTCTAGTGTCAAAACATGGTATGGGATTTGACAAAAGCGATAGTATTTTGGGTATTACTGTGCTCATACACATATGATGGTGGTAATTTTTGATGAAGTAAGGGTACCTCAACAGTGATAGTTGTAATAGGTACATGCATAGTGGGTGGGCAGGCATGTACAATTAGTTTTTCTTCATTCTCTGATGTTACATTTCCACCTGCCCAATCTTTTCAATTTATGTATTTTTGAAGTTAGATTTAATTAATAAAAAAGAACTGGGCGTTACTTTGAAAACACTACTTATTTAAATTAGGTAACCAGTTCACTGTATGGATTCATTGAAACTTGTATCAAAGAAATCAAACTTGCAGTTTTAAAGATATTTTGAAGAAAATTGAAGATGAACAAATCTGAGAGGTCTGCCCAAGTTACATATACCGGCACACCAATTATCAAAGCAATAAGAATTGTAGTTTTCAAGAAGTTGAAAAAGTAGAAAAGTTGACATGGGCACTACTGACAATCACCAGTATGATAAGCTCCACTTGACAAAGTTGACAGCGGGGCTTAAAACATTGTTATGCTTTTGAAGTATAATTCGTATGGATTCATAGTTTCTCCTGTTTCAAATTAATCTGGGTTGCATTTAAATATGCCACAAGTTGCACTCTGAACATTCATAGATTTAAACCACGACAAATTTAATTCATCCGCTGGCCGCAGTACTTTATTCCATTTTAAAATTCACATATATTCAAATAATAAAGTCTCAACAAATTAATTAGCAATGTACAAAAACACCACTAAAATGGGGAAAACACTTTTAGACGTCAAAACTATGTACATGTATTGCAGTATTATTGAAATAGACCACTTGGTTTCTCAAGTTTAGTATTGTCATAGTCGCATTTTTTACAAACCAAAGTGGTAATGTTCGCAGCTAATCTGAACCGATTAAATCACAATATCATTACAGAAAAAGTGCTGTTAAGCTAAACGCATGTGTTAACCCTTATCTGGCCAAGTCAATGTAAATCAAGTATTCTGATTGGTGGATGATCATAGACCAAAATAATACATACACACTTGCGTCATAAAAAGATGCTAATTAGTGTTTTCACATCATTTTACGTTGTTAAAACAAAAGCAATATTTCTGGTACTTGCCAAAATTGAACATTCATAATTCAAGGTAAAATTAAAAATCATACTAAATTTAAAATAAAGAGGTTATTGTAAGAGTTAGGAAGATTGACAACGTAAATTGCTAGTTACACTTTTTAAAGGCTGATAAAAATGAACGTTGCAACCAATGTGGGGGAAAAAAAAAAAAAAACTGTAGGGGGGGGGGGGTAAATACTTGCGTGAGAATTTTGTACAGTGGCCGTTTTATGACCAGATTTATACATGTACTGACTTGATTTATTCAAACCATTAAGATACATAGCACAATGCAGTTACATTGCGTGCAAATATTAATAAAGCCATACATTACCTAAATATTTTTTAAAGCTTTTGACATGTAAAAAAAAAAGCGAGTTGTACACTAAATGCGACGAATACTGTTTATGCATTACAAAAACAAACTGAAATCAGGAAAATTCATGAGCACGAACTTTCATATTTGTCTTTAAAAATTTAAATGAGGGGGCAATGTGCAACAATTTTAATTTAATATGCAAATCTGTATTGATTTTCGATTTCAAATCGGGCAATTGTTTCCTGAGATACAAGTACAACAAGATTTGAGCGGAGTAAAATGCACACGTACAATATTAGCCTCTGTTTTTATACTCGGCATCCATGTACACAGGTGTTAAAAAGGTGTTGGACTTTAAAATGTTAATGCGATGCACACTGTACTCTCTGTCCATGTGGGCCATCTTCTTCATCGTCATCATACGCATTACCGCTGCGTCCATAACGAGCTTCTCTGGGGTCAAGTTCAACAAGTTGAGCTTCCTCCATATCGTCAGTAACAATCACTTCTTCTCGTTCTGGGAGAAGTTTTTCAAGCTCTGGTAATTTCTCAATTGGAATAAAATCATTTTCAGGAAATTTCACTGTGAACTGGATAATTAGCTGTCCCTTTTCAAACGGGTTTCTGTAAATAGGCATTCCTTCATTCATTACGCATTTAATATCACCATACTTAATTATCTCACCTGCAAAGAAATATAGAAAAAATAATTTAGTCATTGCCTAATTTGGAACTCGCCACCATATATGGATACCCTTGAGAACTCGTGAAACAAATTGATGAGCATATGTATAATAATATGATGTACTGTGAAATACTTTATTTTAGCTGGAATTAGTTTTCGCTGAAAAGACATTTTGGGTGTTTTGTATGGAATTTGTTTTCACTGTTGACGAGTTGAATGTGAAATATACGGAAAAAAGTATATTCGCTGGATTTTATTTTCACGGAATCATCCTTTTAGCAAAAATAAATTCCAAGCAAAAATAAAGTATTTTACAGTATTATGAAGTTTAAATGCAATCGCTCCAGACATGTCACGGACACACAGATCCATAAAAACTAAAAACTCAGATCAGGGGGACAATGGAGATGATCAAGACAAATGGGCCAAAGTTACATGCCTACAAATCCCTGACATTCCCAATGACACACTGGGACTGCCATAGTAAGAGAGTTGACAAGACGATCTTACCTGGATGTGATGTAATCAACAAAGTTCTGTTATCTAAAGTTTTGACAGTTTTCTGGAATCCACACAAGGCTTCCACGAGTTCAATATCTCGTTTCATTATCAGATTGACACCATTACGTTGAAATCTAGAGTGTTCCTTTTCATCAAGCACAATAACAATATCACCAGGTTCCAGACCAGGCTCCTGGTCGCCCTCTCCGTGGAAAATAATTTTCTGACCATCTTTCATTCCTATGAGTAAAACAATTGGTGAATTAAAAACTGGTGGTTAAAAAACTCTGGTATCAACATGACAATTCAGCCACAGGCATATGAAGATATATGAAGCTCAGCTGAGCTTTGTAGAGATGATCTTGCTGTATGTAAACTAATTGTTGGTTGTTGAGACAATGTGTGAAAATATCACTGCTGTGTGTGAAAGGAACAGCCTCCAAAAGAAAGAATTTCTTTCCCCAATTTCCCCAATTTCTGACTCTGGGGATAGTCAAACTCGTGGACTAACTTTGAATAGGAATTTCATTGCATTCTGGTTTAGAGATTTATGTTTCTAAATAGAGTAACTAGACTCGAGCAACATTTTGCACAGGTTTATAAGGTTTACAACTAAAACCAGGCCCCATAATCAAAGTTTGCAAAAACATTCAGTCTTTAGAAGTCACCTCACTTTATTGCTGGCATGTATTATGCTGTTATAATTATTATAATAATTATTTATTTTTGCGATAGTACTCTCTAGATTGAACGCAGCATTTACAGTTCATTTAAAGTTGCGTTTGGATTATATGTTGATACAGTGTAACAATGTCGGCGCCGGTGATCTCTGTTAGTGCACAAATTAGCCAAAATAAAAAGCATGTTCATTTGAACACTGCTATTACAAGACTGGTAGGAGGTAATACATTTGGGGCGAAAGTATTCAAAAATTAGTTTTTTGACTGTTTCTATGGCAACGGTGGACCAAAAGTTCTTTTCGGATTCTTCCACATAACTAAGGTGAAGGTGTGACCTACCTGCCAAGTTTGAGCGAAATCGGCCAAGCCAAAAAAATCACAGAAGATTTAATACGTGAAAACACTGGAAATCACACACACAGACACAAACACACAAAAGTGATTTTAAGGGAAATCCTAGCGGAGCAGATCGCCAATATAGCAAGTTTATCTAATGTGATGAAAGATTCCCCCACAATGCATTGCATTTTTGCAGTAACATGCTCAGTAGTGCAAATTTTGAGTTGAGATTCAAACTGCCTTTAACATCATACCAGCAGTGCTCACCTTTATCAATATGTACTTCTAGTATTTTTCTTTCCCGTACTATTTTTCTTCCTTGGCACGTTTTACACCTGTCCTTGGCATTAATTCTTTCCCCTTGACCATGACACTCGTGACACATGGACTGGATCTGCTGCACCATTCCAGGTCCAATCTGGTGTATTCTCACCTGCATACCTGAACCACGACAATTTGTACATTTCTCAACTGCTCCCTTTTTGCCCCCTCTTCCTACAAGTGAATAAATCAATGTCAATATTCATTTGTATTTGCGTGAATTGACATTTGAGTGGACATTAAATATGCAGCCTCTCGGCTGAGATAGTTCTGCAGTTAGCAATGCACATTTCAATTAAAGAATTTAAGATGGAACGGAATGAACTAATCTGAGAGAGGTCCGTCGGTAGTGCCTATATGTATAATATTAAAGCAATCAGACTTGCGGTTTTTAACAAGAAGTCAAAAATATCACTTTTTACCAAAAAATATTCGTCTAAATTAGAGAATTGAAGAAATTATGAAATGAACAAATCTGAGAGCTCTACCCAGATTACATTTACCGGTACATCAATTATCAAAGCAATCAGGCTAGTAGATTTTAAGATGAAGTCGAAAAAGTAAATAGTTGATGCGAATGACTACTGACAAACACTCGTATAATAAGCCCCGCTTGAAGCAAAGCTAAACGGGGAGGGGTATTAAGGACATTCTGAAGCAAGGTCTGCCCTAATTAAATTTATTATTAATTCTATACAAGCAGCCTATCGGCTGAGATAACTCCGCTGTTAGCAATGCACATTTCAATTAAAGAACTGAAGACATCATTCAGTGTTCTCCACAATCCAAATTAGCTGGTGGGCGGCCTAATTAGCATAAATTTGCATATTAATTTGCATATCATTTACATACAGCATTCTCACATTTATGACATGAACTGCAATACACACTAAGTTATTTACTATTCTCTTTTTAATTTAATTTAATTGGAACATGTTACAATTTTTTGAAATACAAACAGATTGGTCACTATCAATATTTACGAAATGCAAAAAGTTTGAAATCGGTGATTTATGCGTTCGCAAATTATTCTGCGTTCATGAAATGCAATTCGAGTAACCAAGAGCAAATACAAAACATAATTGAGTTATAATGTAGGAAATATACGAGATGATTTGCCCACGAAGCCAAAACTGACAATTTGTCAAAACAAAATCCATAACATTTGTATTTGTGGCGTCAGTACTCACCCGTGCCGACGGACGGTAAGATGCATTTACGCATGTACGGCCACGATACGTTGCGTTTTCACACATTGTTTTGGAATTCAAGAAAAAAATGCTAGCAATCGGCAAAATAA